GGGGGGGGGGGGGGGGGGTACAGTCCAGGGGGTGCCACCGTTTTATGCCTCCTGCTACAGTGTAGCGTGTTTCATGCCTTCCAAGCCGACTTGCGGGTATCGTTGGCACTTGTGTGCCCGCGTGTATAGTAGCTAGCATCGACCGTGCTCACCGGTTTGTTGGTCGTGATGGCGGTTGTCTCGGTTGTATCGCCGGCCACCCGTGGTGTTTTCACCGTACGAATTGATGCACCAATAATAGCGGAGACGGGGAGGCGAGGGGAGTAAATTGCTCGCCTTGCTTGTGGTCTGTGAGGCGTTGCCTGCTACGGTGGCTGCTGTACATCACACAGTCGCCTTCCTGTCACGCGGGAGTCAGCAGTACTCAAAGCACTACAGATCGTCGGCTCCGAACGCCTTTTTCGTCTGACTTGCTTGCCTTTTTTTATTTTTGCATGCTCGGGGGTTTGTGTTTTTGCTTGCGTGTGCGTCGTACGAAGTGCATCGAGTGACGAATGAACAAACATAGCCCTGCACAAGTATTGCAACATGTTGAAAGAAATCGAGACACCAACAACTAGAACGATAACGATCAACACGGCGACCATAACAAACAGGAGGAACGGCTGGTGGACGCGCTGAGGATGGTCGAAGACACCCACCAAGCCGGTGAGGTTTAGGTTTCATGCACCATCTTGTCGGGGGTTTGCAGTCATTCACAGGGTCATGTTCGTGGCTTCTCTTCATAAAATGTCTCCCGCCTTGGAACAGTGGGCATGCGGTGTGCGGTACGCGTATGCCCCGACCTCATCTTCTCGCTTCTGCTGCCTGTGCCGTGGTCGGTTGTTATGCGTTGTGTATGTTATGCGTTTTGGGCGGGCATGTGCTGTCCCCCCTCCCCTTGCCTCCCTCAGGTTGTAGATGGTGCTTGAGACCTTCCTCCCGTCTTCTTCCAACGTGCAAACGTGGAGTACACCTGTTTTTTTTTTTTCGTGCGGGGGGGGTACGGGGTAGGCACTCTCCTGGTGGTGTTCCCTGTTAAGGCTATTGCCGAGTGTCGTCGCGGGAGGGAGAGGGGACGGGGGGTCTAGTATCGGCACACGCCTCTTCGTGAGAGGTATGACAAGCGTGAGGGGTGCACCAGCACCCGAGTCTGTTGACGTTGAAATCCCCGTGTCGATGTTCCGTGCTTTTTAAACCCTGCCCACACCGTGGACAGGGATGAAGCCGAGGGACGTCCTGATGAACAAGCTGACGTACTCGTGCATGCGGCAAGGGGAGCCGGAGCTGATGCACAAGATGCTCGACCTCCTTCTGCTGACCGGCAACATCGTGGTGAGGAGAGGAGGAGCGCGCACATAAGCTTGATCCGACCCCTCGTGACACACACACGGATGCTTTTACCTTGAATCACAGTTTTCCTAAGCATAACATTTTCGTAGCAAGAGGCGTTGGACCTCTTCCTGATTGCTGACAACGTTTTGTGGTGTTCATGTGGTCGTCACATCTATTCTGACGTTAGTCTACACGCCTCTTTTTGTACCTTCGCTTGGCTATTGCTGCTGGACACACCGACCCTCCTGTGCTATCTTTGTCCCGTCTCTGTAACGTTACTCTCTTGTCTGGTGTGCGGCCATCTATATCATTCAGAACCCGATGACCGTGAAGAACGTCTTGTACATGGCCTCCCGCCGGAGGGATGACGACATGGCGACCAAGATGTGGGTCGCCGCGCAACAATGGGGTCACAGGTTTTGCCAGGTAATTACGAGTACACTACCGTACAAGAGGCCGTCGCATTGTTTTTTTGACACATGCTTCTCTCTCCTTCTTGAAAGTTATTGTTCTGATGTAGATGTCGATACCCCACCCACCCCCCCCTCTGTCTACTCGCCGAGCCACGTATGTGCAGTTCTGTGCACTTGGTGCTGACTATTGTCGTCTTGAGGTTGTGGGCGGCCTCCTCCCCTGCTGTTACAGTTCTAGTCAATGCTGTGGTCGGGATACCATTCGGCCAAAGTTTGAGTTATAGCAACGTTAAAGTTGCTCGTTCTCACGTGGAACACGCCGGAAGATCTCAAGCTCCGCCAAACGTTTGTCGGAAGGCTGCTGCTGCATGGTTCCCAGGCGAATCGGAGATTTCAGTGAAAGCTTGCTCTTGCGTGTCTCCGCCCGACCGATTTTTCTCCAATCTATAGTGGAAGAATGAGAGGAGCTACTGTATCCCCTCCCTCCTCTAGACTGCCCTGGAAGTCAACGCCCGGTTACGCCCCGTTTTCGGAAAGAGCACGTGGCCCGTTTAATCGCGGTTGTAGCCTTGAACGACAGCGAATCTTGACGGCGGCTTTTGAAGTGGTGCTTCATAGATGGTATGCACCGCCCTCATGCGGTTTCCCCCCCCTTCAAAAAAATTCCCTGGCGGCTCTTGTCCTTCTTTGTTTTTCGTTATTCTGTCCTCGCCGTCTATTCGTCTGTTTTCATTTTGTTCGTTTCGTTTTGACCTGGTGTGGGTATTACGACTTTTGTCACCGTTACTTTAACTCTTTTAGTTTACTGTTTCGACCCAATGTCGTGTGTGTCCCCGCCCCCAGGCCGATTACTCGTTCGTGGTGCAGACCTTCTTCGCGGTGGGGAAGGACGACATGGCCCTCGCCACTCTCGTGCAGGCCTACAAGGTCTGTGGGCAAAGGAAAAAGGGTAGCAAAGAAACAATAGGCACAGGAAACGGCGACACGACGACGCTGTCTATGAAATGATTGCTATCCATTTTTTGTTCTATTTTTACTTTCCATTCGTGGATCGAGATTTCACCGTTTAGTTTTTGCAAGAATACAAGAAAGAGCCACCAAGAACGACAGCCGTTGCTACACAGGAGAACCACACGAAGGGCGTTTTTGTGGATGTATTTCTCGTGGAAGCATGAAGACCAAGACTTGTGTAGGCGGGGGGGGACGTTCGTGTTGTAACCCTTCAGCGGTCGAATTGAAACAGGCTGGGTGGCGTAAAGTTGTCGGTGGTTGGCTTTGCCCCGCCTTTTTGGTAGTTGAGATATGTGCTTCGCCTGCTATGACACGCGTGGGCAGTTGCCAAGCTACCACGGCAAACGACTACGAGTAGCCCTCCAACCTCTCTTCATTCTCACGCCACAGAACCCCGTTGTGGGCGCTCTCCCTCCCGCCCTCCCTCCCACCCCCTCTCCCTTCCCTTCTCCCCCTCTTCCCCTCTCTCTGTTCCTCCGTCTCTTGCCCCTTGGTTAATTTGCTGCCGAATCGCCAGGAAAAGATCGAGGTGAACCGCAAGACCCTGACGTTCTGCGCGCAAAGGCTGGCGGTGTCGAACAAGCGGCTAGACCAGGCGTACTACACGCTCACGCTGCTGAAGGAAAACGGAGAGCCGGTTCCGGTGGAAGCCGTCAACGCCATCATCGTCGCTTGCGCCATAAGGTGCTTGCTGTCTTGTGCTTGTTGGGATCGACGTGTGCGTTTGTTAGGCTCGACCGCGCTAACTGGGTGACCAATGAAAAGACGTCAGTGCCAGCGGGTAAAAACAATTATCCCTGAAAGGAGGCCAACATTGACATTCGAAACCTAAGTAATGCACTAAATGCAAATGCCAACATGAGTCTCTACATACTGTTTGTGTGTCCGTGAAGTTGTCTGCTGATGTCGGCGTACATATGTAAGCGTGGTGAATTGGTCATGAAAGGGCATGACTCGCCGTTCTTTTGGGTAAGTAGCGCCATCACCCGGGGGCCATTAACAACAACCGCGCAAACCAGCACCGACAGCAATGAACATTTGAGATGAAATCTTGTTTGTGCCGTTTGTGCTGCTGCTGCTGTCATTTCAGGCAAGCAGTAGACCGATGTTTTGCGACGGCCGAAGCTCTCCCTGTGGTGTTCGAGCTAGCACCCAACCTCGACACGTACAACGCGCTGATGCACGTCCTCGGCGCGATGAGAGCGGTGCGATTCGGTTCTGAGCCTGAACAGAGGGGTGACACGCCGCAGCAGCTTGGATGTTTTGCTGCCATCGGGTCGATTTATTTTCGGTAGTAGGGCCTCTCTCCTTCGACCTGGAACCAGCGTGGAATGCGTCCGTGTGTCGTGCGCCGCGTGGTTGTCCGACTTGCTTGGCGCACGAGCTTTTCGTTGTCCTTTTGTCCTGCTTCGCACGCACGCTCGCCCTGGAATCTACGTTCCTCCTTGATGAGGTTTTACTTCACGGCAGATTGTTGTGCTTAAAATGCACGGCCAAATCAACCTCAACGGTACACGCTACTAAGTTGTGTGGTTCTCCTGTTTTCCATTGAATGCTCTCCTTCCACCCCGACCCGTCGCTATTTCGCTGACTCGTATGCTGCCCTCCCCCCACCTCCCATCCCCTGAACGCGTGCTGGCGGTTGATGCGCTACCATACTTGTTGGTGTGCCGTCGCTATTGCTGCCCCGCGCGCCCATGCCCTTGCTTGGACGCGTTCTTCAGCAAGACACGGACAACGCCACGCTCGGCATCGGCATGTCTCTCCTAGACCAGATCGAGTGAGTCGGCTAGCTGCCTACCGCTGCTGTAGCTGTCACTTTCAGACCACTGCTCACGTTGTTGTCCATGCATGTGCACACCATGTATATATTGCGTTTGTAAACCGGTACATGCAACAGCCATCGGACTCATGTTTCTTGGGTGGTTTTTGCTTTTGAGGGGGATGCGCGCGTCCTAGATGCTGGTGGTGGTTTCGCTCTCCGTTGTTAGTGGAAGGGCCCCGGAGGAGAGCTGTGACTGTAAGATAGCTAGCGGAGGGAGGTTCGTTGTTTTGAGTCGCTGTGTTTGGTGAGGGCGAGATGAGACGCAAGGTTTTCTGCTCGCCGTACGTCCCGACGTTGCGTGGCCATCTTCAAACTATGAGAAAGTATTGGCGTCCGGCTCGAGTGAGTCTGCTTGCATGTCTTGTTTCGTGCCCCAAATCATCCGGGGAAGAAGCTGACAGGAAACAAGTCAATTCAGCTGGCCTCAGGAATTCCCACACGTAGTTTTTCACGTTGCCGCACGGAACGAGGCCCGTTGTTATCTGTCGCTATTTCTTGTATGGCAAACTCCGCTCGGTATCAAACCAACCCCATGTCTTGTTGCCCCCTCGTCCGCCCCCGGTGTTTGCCATCGGGGTTGGGTTTTCGTCGCTTGGCAACGACGTTGTAAAACAAGCCGCCCCCCCCGGTGTTTGCCATCGGGATTGGGTTTTCGTCGCTTGGCAAAGACGTTGTAAAACAAGCCAATTCACTTCGTGAACTCGGCAACCAGGTTACCGTTTTTTTTTTT